AGTAAAACGCATGTACACCTGAAGGTCGAACTCCCAGTATTTCTTAGCAATCTGGCGCAGGTCTTATATGTGATCAGAGGTGCTTCCTTCGCGCTGGAGGCCACACTACTCTTCTTATACCTTAGAGTCAGTTGTTCCGCGACACCTCGTTTCTAGCACCTTAGCGTAGATTTTGTCTGGGTGGCTCAATAACGTGATGCCCCTATAATTGAAGCACTCTTTGCGGTCTCCGTTCTTGAATGGGTGTACAAGAACTCCTATCCTGCAGTCCGCTAGAGTCTTCCTCGTAGTCATTGCAGTTCGCCAGACACGTGTAATGAAGCGTATGCCTTGTTCGCCTAATGCCTTGAGCATTTCAGGGCGGATTTCATCGATTCCTGCAGCCTTTCCATTTTTCAAACTTTTCTCAACTTGCAGTTTCATCTACAGCGATAGTAATATCCGTTACCTGCTGCTCTACAGGGGAGTCATCATGCAGTTACTCGGGATTAAGGAGTTCTTCGAAGCACTCTCTCCATCGCTGAAAGTGTCATCATCCTTGGTAAGAGCGTATCTAGACCTGTCCTGCAAGTCTCTTCTTAGACACCGCCCTTCTTTTCCCTTTGCCGAGGATGGTCTGCCAGAATACCTTGTTTGCCGTGTGAAAATTTAACTCCAACACTTCACCGAACTTCTTCCAAGAATCGGCTTTGACTTTCTCCACTGCTTTCGCTGCCGCCTTGCTTGCCTCGACATATCGCACGCGAGTAAAAGGCTCGTTGTTTCGAAACCATTTCTTGAACGCTGCCTTCTCTTTATCTGCCAGTTGTACTTCTCATGTCTACCAGGCAGATCTTTTCTGACCTCCAGGCGGCAGGCCAACCCGTTTAAACCCGCAGCATTCGGCGGCATCCTCGAGTATACTCGAGAGCTGTCACTCAGTTTTCGCAGCGATCATCACCGAGATCTGGTGAAACTGTCGTGCGATGTTTGCAAAGTTTGCTCTCGTGTCCAGCGAAGATGGTGTTTCCCATTCGATTGTCTGCTTGGATCTGCCGCCAGATCATCGTATGATACTCCATTTCGTACAGCGCAGCTTTCCGACAGCAAGGTGGTGATCGATTGATGGCTCTGTGCCTCTCGTAATCGGAACGTCCGTTACGCAGCGTCTTAAGTTAGACGATAGGATCATCAATTCGATCATCAACTTCTTGCGCAAGCTTTTCCGTTTCAGGTACATTGATGCACTCCTCGATGCTCGAAGAAGGTGTTCATGATGGACAGTCCGTTGCTTGCACAAAACCGCAACTTCATGCCATTATTGTTGAGGTCGTTAGGGCGTGTTTTTTCAATCACGCCATTCCACTTTACTGCGTCTACTCCGATAAGCGCATTAAAATCGCGCATAAGTATGTGGGATTCTGTGTTCGGCACTTCGGCCGGAGCACGCTGCACTTCCTCAAGGACGGTATCGTATTCTCCCTCCAAATTAAACGCACCGACCTGTACCAAGGTCAACGCTTTAGCTTGTTGTAACTTCAGTCAGAGGATTACCACCCTTCCGCTGACAGGCTTCCAATCAATGATTTTATCTGTGAGGTTGGGTTCTACCAGCAGGGCATCAGCATCGGCTTGAACGCTCATCTTGATATCGACTCTTGAGCAGAATAGCTTCCACCCGCAGGGGTTCAGGGTTCCAAAGCCTTGGTGCTTCGTTGCCGAAAGTCCAACAGTGTCGAGTTAGTTCTTTATGGCCTTATCAACTAACTCTTGTTCTTTCCCTCTGAGTGAAAATATTTGCCAGTTTCCGTTTCTAAGCTCCCACTGGCCGTGTCCTTCTCTAAGATCCTTTTCTGTCGTCCTATAATGGCATCGCGCTGTGTGCGTTATCAGTTCAGAACGGGTAGCTACTGCTTTGGTGGCTGGTGTTTTGGACGTCATTCCTTCGATCTGCATC